TGAGAAGGTTTTTGCTATAGGGCACGTGCGCTCGCCATAAAGACAGAAACAGAAAATGAGAAATCACCCCCTGGGGGGATGGCCCTGCTGCAATCCCTTCTCCTCCATTCTCCTCGGGATCTTGGGCACACATGCACATGTGCCCAGTGTGAGTTTAACCCACTGGGTCCGGGCCTTGAACCACAGACAACTACATGGGAGTCCAGTGACACAGACGTTACACCAACTGATGGTCCCAATTTTTACCAGTCTTAAAATTAGTTTGCAAAGTTCCATGACAATGTCTATTTGCTTAATCAAGATTGCTTTCAATTCTTATCTTTGGAGAAGTAATACTGCACTTTCTATCCATAAGCATCCTATCCTCTATTTATAATTTTATTCCAACAAATTAGAAAATTTTATTTTTCCACTGAATTTTGGTGTATTATTTTATATAAAAATTAAAATTTGGGACCAGCAGTTAGCTGGTTTTCTTTCATATTGATCTTCTACAGTGGACTTTCAGTGACAAACCAGGATTTCACTTATTTTTATCACTTTCTTAACTTTATGGAAAAGGAAAAGAGTGTATATCATTTGTTTCGTTCACTAGTCACTGAAAACAATTTAGATAGACTAAACTAAGAAATAAGACTGGGCCCAATTCTTCAATCTATTTTGATATAACTTCCGTTCAGAGCAAAAGACTAAGGTTCTATAAATCACCACTTCACTGTCAATGCCTTAAAAAGTGTACATTTTTAAAAGATGAACATACAGAGACCAATTAAATTCATTTTTTAAAATTTTCTTTATTATTACTATTTACCAATGGGGAAATGCAGTTTATTTACACCAGCAGCCATAGGGACAAGGGGAATACACAGTTAGTAGGCTACCTGTATTGGATGGACTACTATGCAAAAATAAGATCTCCAAAACAAATATCAGTGGTGAGCTTCACTACCCTCCCCCAATGATCCCAGCATGCGATAATGCCAGGCAGTGGCCCCTGGGCATGCGGTGGTGGGAACTAATGTATGGAAGAAAAAGCCACAAACCACAGAAATTTTAAAGATCCCCTTTTCCCCATACACACACACACACTCAGATACATAATAGGATTACAGGGTGATCAATACACTTGAGGAGGGAAAGATAGGAATTCTGCTGTTAAGAGGGATAGAAAGTAGAGAAAGGGAGAGTTCCTAACCACTGTCAACTATATGGTAGGGAGCATTCCCTCCCCAAAAGAAGTGTGTCATCTCAGGGCACCTGTTGGGGAGCCACCTGAAACCCATCTAGGAGAGGAGGCTGTAGCCCTAATGGTGGGGAGTGAAAAACTAAGAGGGAGGTAATGTGAAAAACCATTATTCAAAAAAGTATTTCCCTTTTCTTCTTCCTCTAACCTGAAGGAGACAAGTCCAGAAAAGAAACAGTAATGTCACAATTTGAGTTCCCTATCTGAAGGAATAGGACAATGGCCTTTCTCCTCTACTGCTCCTGAAATATTGGAAGCCAGAATCTCACTTAAATTATCTCCTTTCCCTCTGCATCCTCTTAGAAGATGCCTATAAAAAGTCAAAAGCAAAGTTATACCAAATTATTTTAACTTACCAAGGTTTATTTTTTAAATTATCACAATCCTGTGACTGAAGACCAATCTGTAAGGAGACATCAACCATGGCTAAAACGACTATAGAGGGAGAAGGCAATAATAGATAGTCTCAAGGCCAAATCTCTAAGGCTTCCTTAACCCTCCAGAGTATATGCTCCAAGTCATTCCACATATTCCAAATAGTTCCTTCCAAGATAAGGAAAGATACATGCAGGGCAAGGGTTAGAGAAAGTGGATCAGGACCAACTCCATCTCTGTGTGTGTCAGCGTTTACTGCTCTTTTTAGGGCCTAAGAGGCAGTATCCAAACAGAGGTGGGAAAATACCTCTTTATGAAGTAAGACAGAGCAGAAGGGCACACTAGCAAGGCAGTCCTATAGAGAAGAAATGCTTAGGCATAACCCTGCCTTTTAAGTACAAATTAAGTTCTCTTTCCATTTCAATCCCAACATAGAGAACTACAAAGATTCTTCCACAAAAACGGTAAAAAGCAAAACAATTTAAGAGGTGGCCAAAGAAAAGGAAAGTAGGCAGGCTTCAGAAATGGGAGCACTAAGAGAGATGAATTGAAACTGGTCAATGTGAAAGCTGGAGGGGCAAGCAGCACCTGGGGTCATGAACTGCACCAGATAGGCAGTGGAGAAGGGGACAGGAGGAACAAGTGGCCAAGCCAGACAGATGAGGCTGGAGGCTGGGCCCCTTACTGGGCACAGAATGAGGTAAGAAAACATTTCAAATAAAGCAGCACCATTCCGCTCACCGGGGCTCCCACCCCTCTATACTTCATAAACCCTCACTCAGGGAGTAGAGGGTAATTTTAATATGTAGCTCTCATTTCCCATTCTCTCCTATCCCATTTTCTGAAGCCAGGCCATTCTGGATGTCCTTCCCTGACTTTCAGCAACAAAAGGAATGCTCTTAATGTCAGGGTCCAAATGGGACCAAGTGGAAAGGACTGTCCCCTGTGAAGGGCAGAAAAGGTGGAGACAGTCTGATGTTCACCATAGGAGAGCTCTGAACTGCTTAACCAAAGGAACAGAGGCATTCGACAGGATGCTGCACAGTCAGATGACAGATGACCCAGTCCTACTCCTTGGCTCCTAGCACTAATCCTTTTACATTATTGAGGGCAGCTGGAAAAGGTCCCCTCTGGGCTCAGTTTTCAAATCACTCTCCTGAACAGCCATGATGCTCTTCTATAGCTCAGGACTGCCTCTGGGTGGGAGGCAGGTAATGACCAAGCCAGACCACGAACTGGCTAGATAACCAGTAACACAGAATAAGAAATGACTGCCCCACCAAACTTAGATCCATTTCATAATACATCCAGATCTGAATCTTGCATTTTGAGAGATCGTGCATAGTTGCAGAAGTCCCTCCTACCTACCCAGGGATCTTAACTAAAGAATGAGCCTGTCTGGGCAACCACGTTGTCCACTTGCCAAGGCTATGCCACTGGGTAAAAAGGCAATGAAGAGGCTCTGCTCAGTCAAAGGCTAGACCTTTCCTCCAAGTCCGTTGGAATCAATGTAAATGCTGGACCTCTGGAAAATGATGGTTCTGATTTTTCTTCTTGTTGGAGTCAAGGCCACAGAATTTCCCTACCAAATTCAACTGGAATTATTTTTCTTAGTTTTCCCAAATTAAAACTGTGAATATCCAGATGTCATACCTGACTTTCGTTTGTCTCAGAGAAGCCCAAATTGGAGGCTCAGAGATCAAAAGTCTTACTGAAGTCCACTAATTACTGCCTGACCATCAATAATGTCCAAACTGTCCGGGAAGCCCTTGACTTCAGGCAGACAGAAAAGCTGAGGAACCAAAGAATTTTATATGCTGGGCACAGAACTGCTCACCCATGCACTGGGGGCAGTATAGAGATCCTGAGCACATCCTGGTGTATTCACAGATCAACACACACTGCATGGTATTTAGGCTGTGCAACTTCTGCTCAGCGTTCCAAAAGTTGGCTCCAGGTAATACACTTCAGGATCCAAAATCTTAAATTCTCCACTTTGGAATTTTAACTGTTAGGCTCTTCAAAGGGAATTGGGACTTTTGTCTGACTCTTTTTCTACTTAGCTTATTCCTCCAAGCCACAGGACCAGTCTATGTTACTGTCCTGGTCACTCTCAGGCTCTCCCATGCTGCAGCTACTGAAATTCCGGAGGTGAGCGTTGCAGCTGCTGATCAGACCCATTCCCAGGTTCTCCAGGAAGGGAGCAAAGAGGGAGGCGGCAAGCTCCTTTGTCTTCCACTGGCTGAATGCCAAAATCCTTCACGCTACCAGTTTCTGCGAACTCCAGGTAGAAGTAGCCACACTTGACTGCCCGGTGCACCTCAAAGCAGAATCCCAAACAGGAATCCTCTATCAGGTCTACGTATATCTCCTGAGCGATGGCCTCTAGCTTGTTAGTATCCAGGTTAGCCAACGAAATTTCCTCCATTTTAATTTGTAAACGACTGTGGAGAGGGCGCTCGTTTTACTCACGGCAGCAACACGTCGGGCTCCGCCTAGGCCTACAGGCCTCTCAAGGCCGTGTCCTCCGGCGGCGGGGAGAGAGGCGTCCGCGGCAGTAGAAGCAGCAGCAGCGAAGACTGATCGGAAACCCCAAGTCTTTCCGTTTGTTCTGGTGTCTCCCAGGTTCTAGGCCTTTGAGGTGCGTCTGGCCCCGACTCACCGCGAAACGGTATCAGCGCCTCACCGAGCCGCCCGGGCCTCTTCCGCTCCCTGCTCGAGCCTAGCCCCGCCTCCCCACTTCCGCTCTTCAGCGCGCCTGCGCACTGGCGTCGCGCAGACTCGCGGGGCTGGTGGGTCCGCGCAGCTGCCTAGGGAGCCTCTTAATACAGGGAGACTGCGGGAAGGGATGAACTCTTACTAGGTTTTCGTTCTCTCTGTGAAAAGACTGGAAAGATACTATTTTATGTTATTTTGCTTGTAGATTTTAACTTTCTCTAATGAAAGTTGATTTCCCCTGAAAATGAAAAAAAAAAAAAACCCACAAAACAGTAACTGCTTGCATTACTGTGTTGTGATCGGAAATCTTAACGTAGGAGCAATTTCTTAGATACCGTCGAAACGTTGCCATCTAATTTGATTTGTAATCATTTATACTACCGCCGCAATTGTCATTTAAATCCACTAGGTGGTGCAAGGAAACAAATTACAGTATGGTTTATCTTTCAGGTTTTAAAAAAATAAAAACAAACTAGAGGCTAAGCACTAAAGGCATAATTCATCTATATTGATCAAATAAACCCAAGCCATTTATCTCACTTATAAGACTATTAAGTCAGTGTGACTATAGAGATGATCATATACATCTCTAAAAGAGTTCAAAGATAAAATTATGTTTATATTCTATCTCGAAAAGGAAGGGAATATGAAATATGTTAAATATACTAGGAGATAAAAGGAAGCTTTTCCTAAAATTATGCAACATAAACCATGAGAACTGGAGCTAGCCTCCCTGGGTTTAAATCCTGGCGCCAACACATAGCAATTCTGTCTTTCCTCATTTGAATAAAACTGACCCTTATTTAATGGTTAAGATTAGATTATATTCTTAAAATAAAATCTTTGTGTGACAGTACTTCACATATAAGCAGTAGTTTTATGTTAGTTATTTTTAATTATATTAGTTATGAACTTGAATATAGGAAAATCACTGTAGTATTTCCTTTACTTTTTGCTCAAATTTTGATCCCTGTCACCATTTCTGTGAAGTAGAGCAGCTGTTAGCTTTATAATTTCTCAAGGATAGCAGTAACTAAAGAGAAAATGTTAAAATATTTACTTATAATACCTGATTCTCTTTTCCTTTCTTTAAGAAAGGAAAGTGGAGACATACATCTTTCTAAATAGATGTCAATAGTTTTCTAATGCATATATATGTGATCATCAGAACATTCTTGGTTTTAAAATTCATTTTTAATAACACAGTCTATATTTTTATGAATAGAGATTAAATTAAACTAATTTGGTTTATGAGTAGCCAGTACCTATACCTATCCAAAGCTTTTTGGTGCATTCTCTGCCATTTTAAAAATCACAAATTTTTGGATTGTCAGATAAAGAGAGTTTTGAAATTGGAGACTATTTAAGACTTAGGTACTGTAAGATTTTTTTTTTTTTTATCTAGGGTTAATGATAAATGTTTTGTTTTATTTTCCACTGCAGTTGTGTAAGTTGGGAGGAAAATTCGGATCTCCCTCCACACAGCCATATGCTAGGCATATGATTAAGTGCACAAGTTTTATCTGTTACCGTCTTTGTAAACTTGCCCTATCTACTTAATCTGGGAAAAGCTCAGTTTAGCATTGTACAATGTCAGCAGCAGTTCTCATCACATAGATTTGTTGTGATATTTAAACATGACAATAAATATAAGAGTACCTGACAGAGTGCCTGACAAATAGAATATAATATTGTATTATGGTACTGTGACATATCTAGTTAGGTGAGAAAATACAGATATAATCAGTTCAACTCACTCCTGTCCTATACCTTCTCCCAATTAAATTTAAAGCAGTACTTTTTAAATTATGCATATGAATCACTCAGACATCCTTTAAAAATGTGTGATTAATTCTGAATGTCTGGAATGGGGCCTAGGTTTCTGCATTTTTATCCCGTTACCTTTCTTTTTCTTTTATTTTCTTCTTGTTGTTGTTGTCGTTGTTATTGCAAGAGGGTGCATGCCCTCACTAGATAGAGCTAGAAGGACAAAGAGAGAGAGAAAAAGAGAGAACTGCTGTCATGGGGCATAGGATGTGGTCACATTGTAATTCTTTTTTCTCTAATTTATTCTTGTCCTTAGAGTCTTTGCATGCTTGACTTGGACAGAAGAGAGTAAGAGATTGTTTTTCTGTCCTTAATAACTTACACTGTGAGAGTTGAAACTTGGATCTACCATTTACAGATTGAAGAGGAGTTTTCAATAAAATGTACTTCAAAATAGTGGAGGGGAGGGTATGATAACAGAAACTGGAAAGAGGAGGTTGGTGAGGGAATGAGGAGAATTTGGTTAACCTGCAAAAGAGTGCATGTGAACAAATGGAATGGGTTATAGACTCTGGTAGTAAAGAATGTTAGTGATATTTTTTTTTTTTTGAGAGCTTTTTGCTATAGGGTGCGTGCGCTCGCCAGACAGACAGAGAGAGACAGAAAGACAGAAAGTGAGAAATCACCTCCCGGGGGGGATGGTTATGCCGCAATCCCTTCTCCTCCATTCTCCTCTTGAGATCTTGGGCATGCACGCACATGCACCCAGCGTGAGTTTTAAGCCACCGGGTCTGGGACACGAACCGTGGTCGACTACGTGGGAGTCCAGCGACTTAGCCATTACCCTAACTGCTGGTTCCCAAGAATGTTATTGATAATTTAATATGCATCACGTATCAGCCAATAGAGCAAATTTCAAATGTGTACAACATAACATAATAATGAATGTTAGAGATGATGGATATGTTTACTTTCTTGATTATATTACTACAAATTTTACAATGCTTTAAAAATCACACTTTACTGCACAGGATGTACAACCATATATGTGAAGTAGAAATGTAATACAAATTATTGTTTAAAAAGTTACTTTAAAATATATACAGACAGGTTTTCATATTAATTGAAATTCAAATAATGAGGATCATTAGATTTCATATATTTTTCTACATGTACTATTTGAAAAGGAACATCAAACATTTTACTTATCACCATTATCGCTTTGTTATGCATTTCTAGTTATATTATTTAACAGCATTGCTTTATTTATTGAAATACCAAGATTCTATATGTTAAATCAGTAACATACCACAATAGAAGTTAGAAAAAAAAACTCTGTAGTTTATTTAAAATTAATAGGGTTGAAGGTATTATCTGTTTTCTTTTTTTTTTTTTTCTTTTTTGGAGAGGTTTTTGCTATAGGGCACGTGCATTCGCCAGAAAGACAGAGAGAGACAGGGAGACAGAAAGTGAGAAATCACCCCCCAGCGGGGATGGTCACGCCGCAATCCCTTCTCCTCCATTCTCCTCTTGGGATCTTGGGCACGCATGCACACGTGCCCGGTGTGAGTTTAAGCCACCTGGTCCAGGACTCGAGCCATGGTCAACTACATGGGAGTCCAGCAACATAGCCATTACATTAACTGCTGTTCCCAAAGTGTTTTCTATGAAAATAAAAGAAACTTTCTAGGTCTTCCAGTGGCATGGTGGTTAAGGCAACCCACATGACCAACTGTGTTTCAAGTCCTGTATCCTACAGCTTGAAAAACACTCTGGGGACCAGCAGATGGAGTAATGGTTACATTGCTGGACTCCCATGTAGTCAACTGCAGTTCAAGTCCTGGGCCCTGTGGCTTGAAACACACACACTAGGTGTGTGTGTGTGTGTGTGTGTGTGTGTGTGTGTGTGTGTGTGTGTGCATGCACCAAATCCTGAGAGGACATTAGAGAAGAAGGGATTGCAATATGGCCATTCCCCCAAGGGTTAATTTTTTTTATTTCTATCTCTCCATCTCCCTCTGTCTCTCTGGAAAGCACACACTCCCTATAGAAAAAAATCTCTCTTAAAAAAAAGGAAGAAAAAAAGAAAGAACACTTTGGCACATGTGTGATATATGTATCCAAAATCCTGAGAGGAGGATAGAGTAGAAGCGATTGGAGTGTGGTCATCCCCTTCAGGGAAGACGGGTTTCTCTCTTTTCTTCTTCTGGTTTCTCTGTCTCTGTCCAGTGAGCACACTCACCCTCTAGCAACTTTAAAAAAAAAAAAAAGGAAACTTTCCATCATCTAAGTCATTTTCTCAGTACAAAGCACATGTTAGGGATTGTGGCTTACATATTTTTAAAAATTTAGAAAATTTAAAATTTAAAAATATAGCTTAAAATATTTAGTGCACAAATTCAGGTATATAAAAGAATGTATTGTGAATTTTTGATCATCTTTCATCATTCTTTTTCCAGTTAATAATTGTAACATATGCACTGGAACAATCAGCTCTTTCAAAAAGGAATGCATCTTAAATTGTTATTTAAAGATTCTAATAAAAGACTGAAATTCCATTAAATGTACATTATTATGAGTAGCCCTTTTTTTTCCCCATTACATGAAAGAGAATAATGATATAGCAGAGAACAAGAAGGATAGCTCTGGAAGTCAAAAGGCCTGAGTTACAATGATAATTCTGCAACTAACTTACCTGGTTACTTGGTGCAAGCAGGCAAATTCACTTTTGTAGGAAACGTACAGATGGACTGATATTTTCCAAATGTTTTCTTCAAAATTAAATTTCCATGAATTGAGGAATCTGAAGAAATAGATTCTGTCCAGGTCTAGTAAATTTTTGTGTATTGGTCCAAGACCACAAAGAACTGTGAAAGGTCTGTAGGGTATCCCTGAAATTATTTCCATATATTTATATGTACAGGCATATGTTTTCAAAAATACTTTTAAAACTTTTCATGACATTGCCATTGAAGTTTATAAAACTATTTCATGTTTAATGTTCCTCCCTATATGGAAGATCCTATATAATAGTATGGAAAAGTATGTCTCTTTACCTTCTACATGGACGAATGTGCCCATAAAGCCACTTGGTGTTATTTCTTTAAGACAGGGTCTTGCTGTGTTGCAACCTTGCTGCTTCAGCCTCTGAGCTGGACTGTAGGTGACACCACTGTGCATTACCAACTCTTTCAGATATGGTCTCACTGAGTAGCCCAGGTCAACCTGGATATCATAATCTTTCTACTTCA